TTTCATTTATCTATTATCGATCAGTCAGTAATAGCTTTAACTATCATTCTCACAAGTAATGTTAAACCTTTGTAAGTCCACTTAAATCCCATTCTTTTAGACAAGTTATTCCTAAGTACCGTTAGTAACAACACTTTGCACTTACATAGTCCCTGTAAGCCCTAAGTATTGTAAGCTGCATAAATATTTGATAAAGCCTTACAAAAGGTTGTAAGAGACTATTGTCATATTTAATATTTGGAGAATTTGGCCTCCATTACCCTTCTCCTGCCAAAATTAGATTATTCTCCTACAGGATTTGAAAGCAAGATTTTATCTTCCTTTGTGAATGTGTGTGGCCATTAAAACAAGGCAATGCATTCTGTATACATTGAACACAAGAATCTGAAAAATTATTCTCCCACAGTCTTAATCAAATATGATACCAATAGAAACTAAAGACAATGCAGTAAAAGAAAGTTTCCTTTTACAGTGGCAATCTTTCTCTTGTTTTGACTATATAACAGTGAAGATCCTGATTAGACTTAAAATTATGTCTGCAAAATATGATATAAAAGAGTATTAGCAAAGGTTGAAAAACCAAGCGCTAACAATTCCATCTTGAAAGCAGGCTTGAAATAGTCTCCACTAAGTAAATAAGTGCCTATGACTAAACAGCACGGAAAGAAAACGAAACAAATTGCTCACTAAACGTGCACAGTCCAGTTGTACACACTAAAGGAGGCAGGAGACATTCGAACCAAATAGTGTGTATACAGGTGTTTCGTACATGTTTCACGCACACACAGGGACCAAATGAATATTTCACAAGCAACTCTGATTTTGACTTGCTATTTATGACTGTTTTCCTTTGCAGCCTTAATAATGTTCCTTCAACAAAGCTTTCCAAGCATGTATAAATTTCTTGAGCTATAATGGAACAAACAAGATGGAAAGAAAATGTGTCACTATTTGGCAACATCAGAGCTTTCCTTCAGCCATCAGCAGAGATGAAACCTTCAGGCTTACCAGACAGAATACAGCTGCTTGAGCTAATGTCATACTTCGGCTCTCTGAGAATCTCTATAAAATTTAAGCTGGATAAAACAATATATTTTATCAGACTAATAATCAGACAACTGAAGATTTTTGGTTGAGATTATTTTTAAAAAAAAACAAACCAAAAAACCCTCAAAACAACAGAGAAAGGAAACCCAAAGTACAACATGATGATAAAAACAGTGTAGAGTTGCTCAGGGTCACTGAGGATGGAAAATGTTAGCACGTGTTGCTAGATCTTCTAATGGAAAGTACTTAATAACCACCAATCCCAGGTGTAATACATAGGTATTAAATAATGAAAGCCCTCAGTTCATTCTGGCATGTGTGCACATAAGAATTCATCCATCCATCTCTGCAAAGCTTTTTCTACATTGCCTATACCTAAAGCATATTTAATCATTTGTATGACATATTTATTGCCTTCTGCAATATATAAATTCCTCTGCCAACAATGACATCAATTAAGTATTAGCTGCACTCTTTTAATTAATTTTAGCATAAGTCAACTTTTTCAGCTTGATGATATTTAAATTGCATTCCTGGCAATGCTGACTTTGACATCTGTGTTACAGTATTCTACTGATATTTCACTGAAATCATTCAAACGTGGAGAAATATTGAGCGGGAGTCAAGAGGGTAAAAGTTTTCAGTTTGCTGGAAACTCTTAACTAGACTCTCTATTGTTTTCAGCTGTCACAGTAACACAGTGTGAGTGCGTAAGTGCTTCATTCCTTCATACAAACCATCACTTACCAGCAAAAGGAAATTGTCCAGCCATGTGTAAATGTCAAGTGAGTTGATAGATCCAAGCCAAGGTGCTTGGTGCACCTGGTGCACAGCCGTGAGCCCAATGTCTGTCACTGCAGGGTGGGACATAGCAAAGGGTACGCTGATCCACTGTAACCAAAGAGCAACAAGTTTTTCAGGTCTAAAGAAGGCATTCTAAACCCATGAAATTTTAATATTAACATTGATCTGTTTTTCTTCTTCTTGTAGGCTACAGATCAAAAGTCAAGTTTCTGAGCTGACTTGAAGAAAAGTCAGGTTATGCACCTACTGGAACCTCTCGGAAATCCAGAGAGCTTTGTAGTGGATAGCTTTCTTCTGTTCTGGAGAATGTAAGTATGAGCAGAGAATCAGTGTAAATCACAAAGTAGGAAAGACGCATTTATACATCTTCATTTTATTTTCCCTAAACTTCACATATATTCTTTACACCCTTTCCTGGACCACACTGTAGAGAAACATGTACATATAAACTTGTGTGCAATAGCTTCAGGATTTGCCAGTATACAGGCATGAGACATTACAAACACACCCAAAGGGTTGGGCATTTGTTTTTAATTCAACACAAAACTATATCGTGACAAGAGGGGCGTGCTGTTGGTGAACTCCCACCTCTCTTGCTCCAGAACACCCAGTAACTCAATGTTACAGCACTTTTCTATGTTGAGGGCAATTTCACTCTGGGCTCTTGACTATTTTCAGTCTCTCTGGTTTTGATCTAGGCCAAAAAATGAGCTGAGAAACCCTTCCCAGATATAGCTTGGGCCAGAAGGTTAATTTCCTACACCAACTCACTTTTTGTGCATTTACTTGCCAACTCATTTTACAATGATGTAACTCACTAACTTTTTATGAGGACAACCTTAGTAGCTCCTCCTGAGATGAGAACCTGGCCTTGTGCTATATGGAATAGACCATTGCAAGCACAGCATCCTCAAGGCTCCAATGATATCCAAAATGTGCATATTACCACAATCCAACTGACCACATATAAGTATATGTGGTAACAGGAGCAAGGAGAGGAGAAATCAAATATCTTCCTCTACTTTGTTGTGCAATTATTGCAACGACATGTGAAGAATGTATGAATTATTGCTGTGTTTTGCTGCACTGACTATTAATCAGGCTGTTTATCATACACCATAGTATTCTGTTCTCAGTTACATATTAAACTTTCACAATTTAAGCACTTAGGCAGAAAGATTCCCTTCTTACTGTCTGCATGGGCTTTTCTGGGAAAGATCACCAAAATGTTTCAACTGTTTACAAGATATTTTGAGGGAAAAATAAAGATATTGTCAAAATGAATGGATGTTAATACTCTTCTTGTTGAGAAATTCATGGGGAACAAAGATATCAAATTGATTTTTTTTATTCTTGTTTGTGAATCTCAAATCCCAAACATGTCCATGCCTCCATGAGCTTCTGAAGAGCTGTAGTTTGCCTATATTCAGCTGAGATTTCCAGTAGGGTAAATTTCTAAAGGTCTGCCTGCAGCCTGCATGCCACAGCCTAGGATTTAATAAGGACTGCGTTGTAAATGCGTTATGAGCTTTTGTAATCCATTCCAGTTCATGACACCAATGTAGCTCTTTGTGGTATCAAGGACTGTTCCTGGGAACTATTTGGGAAAGTACTAGTTGACGTGGGCCAAAACAGTGCCAGGACTGTGTTAACAAATAAGCACTACAGATGATCGTGTCTTTTCACCTTGACACTGTTTAACTTGTTTAATAAACATATAGATCCAGTTTGTTCATTGAGTCCTTTCTAACTGAAGTAGAAAATTCACTGTTTCGAATGGAGAGCAAATAAAACAAAGGCTCGTGGAAGTGAAGCAGAAACTGGGACTTTATGTTAGAACTTGAAGCTCAGATGTGGAAGTAGCAGGTAGCTAGAAGAACCTGGCCCTCATGGGATTGGAAACCAAAAAAAAAAAAATAGAAAGACTTCTACATGGTGGCAAAGAGTTTAGAATGGGAATTAATAACACAGCTCAGATGAAGAGTCAGTAAATAGTGGGGATACAGCTCAGGATCAGGGAAAGACTCACCAGGCAAGATAAAGACAAAGAGTTGAGATTTGCGGATGTGGGTACAGGAGAGTGAGTGAGGAGAGAAAGAGAGAAACTACATGGGATTGCAAGGAGAAAACCAGGGAAGTGTGTGGAGTGGCTGGGGTAGAGGTTATAGAAGCCTAAGGAAGAAGCTGTGGCTGAATTGAGGAGCCACGGTAGGGAACAGAAGTGATTAGAACAAGCATCTCCTCTTGGGTAAGGAGCAGGAGAGGAGCAGACATTAGAGGAGTGAGCAGTAAAGCTCTGTGTCAGTGGGAATACAAACTGCTCCAGAGCCTGGAGGAGAAGCTGGGATATCTGAGCCTGTGACATCTTCTGCTGTGACACCTACTGTGAAAGTGTCCCATGTCGTCTAAAACCACCTCACCTAGAGCACGACCATTTAGATGCTATCTCAGGCTTCCAGCCCCACTGATGACTCTCGAGGTTATGAATATGGTTCCTTCTACACGACATTATCGCTGTTCATTTTAAATGGGAAATTACCTAAAAAGCCCAACCTGAATTAAAAGAATGCTATTAAAGCTACGGATCCAACCATTTAGGACAATGCTGCACAACATTAGTTTGCTTTCCCCTCCCTGTCAGGTTCATGCTGCTTTTAATACAGGATTGCATGTTGTTATTCCCACGGGATCAGGGTCTTTAGCAGTGCATGAGTTGTTCTCATTGCAAAAGCATTACTGTATTTTGATTTATCTACAATTTGGGGAATTCCTGTAATGCACACCATCTACAGAAACTGAATGGTTCACAAATATTAGCATGCATGTTAGGGAAGGCAACAGTATTTTCCTCACTGTGCAGGTGAAGAACAAAGGTGTGAGAGAAGAAGGTTTGCAATAACTTGTTATTCAAGGTGCCCAGCTGGAACTTGGATTTGTTTTTTTCAGGGCATTTAGCACCATTTCCATGAAGTCAGTTACAAAAGGGAACGTGTTGCACATTTCTGCAAATAAGGCCATAGGCCTCGTGGTAGGATGCCACAGAGAGAGGACACACACAGGGTTAGTTAATGACCACCTGTGTGAACTCTGGCTGAAGAAATTTCCCTAGAGCTGCACAAGAATTCTGGTGCAAACAGAGAAACAACTCTGGGTCCCCAAAGCACCATTCAGTTCCTTCACCTTGAGCCACGCCATTTATTTTAGCCTGTCTCAGATCTCTGCACCTGTGACCATCTATTACTGCCACTGGCAAACAAAGACAGCAGCTTCTTTGATTGTCCCCTAGTGGTCTGAGCCTTGTTACATTGATGTTTTTCAAAGCATGGCTTAAAGAACAGCAGTAAATAAAAGAAAAGACTACTCATCAGCATATCATTGATAGCTAATGAGGGGATATTTGTACCACCATGTTCAAACAGCAAGGTCATCTGGTGAGACTTCCTATGCTATGGTCTCCAAGGACAATGGAGAGAAATGAGGGAAAAAACAAGAAGGTAATTTAAAGTAGGAGGTTGACTAAGATGCCTGAGTAAGTGACAGCTACAGGGAAGAGAAGCAGAAGAGTATTAGCTCTGCAATTCCAATGCCAGTGTTTCTGGACTGCTCTACTGACTGCTTCCTACGTCTGATGCCTCCTTCCAGTACATGTGCCACAGTCCTATGGATAGATAGGGAAGGAGTCAGCTCCAATCCTGTTGTGGATTAGATATATACTGAGCAGGAAAATTGCGGGAGTGTTTGCATTATCAGACTGATTTGAAAAGGATCCAAAAGATCGGGCCTCTCGGTCAGCATTATTGTCAAAGCATGGGCTGTATGTTGATGTAAATGCAGACTCCTTAAAGTCAGGGCTCTGTCAGTGGAAGCATTCCTTCACCATGCTTTCAGTGAAGACACAGTTCCAAAACTGAAGCTGAACAATAAGTCTCAGTAACCACCATAGTGCTCAGGGCAAAATCCTCAACAACAAAGGAAAAAAAGTCAAACTTACCAGTCCCAGGAAGATGCAGAAGAGCTGAACTACATCAGTGTAGGCCACAGAATACAGCCCACCCACAAGCGTGTACATAGTTGCAATTAGGGCAGAAATAATGACTGAAATATTGACATTAATGTCAATGATCACACTTATAGTGGCACCTATGAGGAAAAACAAAGCACTGTGTGTTAATGTATGTTGCAGTATGTCTGATGAGAAGGTTCACCTTTGTTAAGTTGCACATACAGGTGCTGGTCTGACACTTAGTAACAGCATGAAGGTATTCCCTCCTCTATGTTCTGCACACCCCTTCTGCACCTTTGAAGGGAGAGGGAAAAGGAAGGATCCTGTTGGTCTAAGTTTAGCATCTGTTGTTTTGCAGATTCTTATAAAATAGAGGAGGGAAGGGTCCCAACAGCCTTTCTTTACATTGCTCAAGCTCTGGAAGGACTACACTCTCCTGTTCTGTCTGGGGAAATGCAGCCATGCACAGACAGCTGAAGCCTCCCTGGGTGCATCGAAGCCATGTGGGAACAAGTGTAAAGGCTGTGCCTAGGGGAGGTCTGCTGAAACTTATCACACCTTTTTGTATGTCACTCATGTTCTGAGCTAGCTCCTTTTGGCCAAGGAAGGAATGGTAAAGGACGCATCAGCCATAGGGGCAATTGTCCACTGACCCTTCTAAAGTGCCCTTGAATTGTTTACATGAGACAAAGGTGGGTTTCTTTGCAAACTGGAGAGTTCATCCTCCATTGTTGACCTAGAAACCAAGAACTTTTCCAAGTACCATCAAGCAGATTTCATTTGTAGAGAACAAAACACAGTGTTGAGCTAACCAGTCAGTCTCCACAAAACAGCTCAGAGAATCAAAGAGCTGCTGGGACCGAAAGGTGCCTCTAGAGACTGTCCAGTCCAAGTCCCCACTTAAGCAGTGTCAGCTGCAGTGGGTTGCTCAGGATCCTGTTCAGTCAGGTCTTGAATATTTGCAAGAATGGAGACTCCGCAACTTCTCTGGTCAACCTGTGCCAGTGCTTGACCTCTCCCACTGTAAGAAATATTTTTTTTTATTAAGTTTAAATGGAGTTTCCTGTAGTTCTGCTTGTGCACATTATCTCTTGATTTGTCACGAGACAGTACAGAGATGAGTCTGACCTCGTCTTCTTTATTCCACTTCCCCCACTGCCAAGCCAAGTATTTATGCACATTGGTAAGAAGCCCTTGAGCCTTCTCTTCTCCAGGCTGAACAGTTCCAGCTCTCTCAGCTCCAGCCTCTCCTTATATGCCAGATACCCCAGTTCCTTAATCATCCTTGTGGCTTTTCACTGGACTGTCTCCAGTATGCCCATGTGTCCTATATTAGGGACCAGTGGATTCAGCACTCCAAATGTGTCTCACCAGCGCTGAGAAGAGGGGAAGGATCACTTCCCTCCACCTCCTTGCAATGGTCCTTCTAAGGCAGCCCAGGATGCCATTGATTTTCTCTGTCACAAGGGCACATTGCTGACTCACAGTCAACTTCATTGCCTTCTAAGACTCCCAGGTCCTTTTCTGAAAACCTGCTTTCCAGCTGGTCAGCCCCTAGCCTGGACATCAGATTGTACCTCCCCAGGTGCAGGACTTGGTATTTCCCTTTGCTGAACTTCATGAAGTTCCTGTTGTCCCATTTCTACATCTTGTTGAGGTCCTTCTGATACAACCATTTGGTCTATCAGCAACTCCTCACTGTTTTTATTCTCTGCAAACTAGCTGAAGGTGCACTTGGTCCCATTGGCTAGGTCATTAATGAAGATGTTAAACTATACAGGACTTAGTGTTGACCCTTGGGGGTACACAACTGGTGACTGTGCTTCCATGCTGCTGATCACAGCCCTCTGAGTTCAGTAGTTCAGCCAGTTTTCAGTCCTCCTCACTGTTCACTTATCTATTCTATACTTCATCTGTTTGTCTACAAGGATATTATGGGAGACAGTGTAAAAAGCACTTTCTGAAATCCACAACATTCTCTACTCTACCTTCATGAAACAAGCCAGTCAGCTCATCACGGAAGATTGGTCAGGAATTATTTCCTCTCCATAAATCCATGCTGATGCCTCCTAGTCACCTTCTTGACCTTCATTTGTTTGGAAGTAGTTTCCAGGAGTATTTGCTTCATCATCTTCCCAGGGATTGAGGTAAAGCTGGCCAGCCTTTAGTTCCTGGTAGCCTCCTTCTTGCCCTTCTTGAAGACAGGGGTGACATTTTTTTGAGTCTTCAGGAACATCCCTGATCATCACAGTCTTCAGAATCCTTGCAATGCTATCAGCCAGCTCCCACAGCACTTGTGGGATGCATCCCATGACGCCCCATGAAATTGTGTCTGTTCAGTCTATTTAAATGTTTCCTAACTTGATCCTCCTCCAGCGAGTCTTTCTTACCCTGGACTTTTCTAGGGTTCTCAGGGTCTTTGAACTCCTGAAGGCTAGTCTTACCAGCAAAGAATGAAGCAGAGAAGGCACTGAGTACCTCAGCCTTTTCCCTACCCCTTGCCACCAGGTCTTCTGTCACATTCAACAGCAGTCCACATTTTCCCTAGTTTATGCACTCATAGAAGCCTGTCTTGCTGCCCTTCAAGCCCAGATTCAAATCCAGGCGGACTTTGGCTTTCCAAACACATCTCTGTATACTTGGACAGTGTCTCCGTATTCCTGTTCCTGCTTCCACCTCTTAAATGCTTGCTTTTTATGTCTGAATCTAGTCAGGAGCCCCTTTTATACCCATGCAGGTCTTCTGCCAGCTTTGGTTATTTTCCTGCTTGTCAGGATGAACTGTTCTTGAGCTTGGAAGAGGTGATCCCTGAGTATCAATCAGTTCTCCTGGACTCCTCTTTTCTCCAGAGCTGTCTCCCACAGAATTCCTCCAAGTAGATCCCTGGAGAGGCCAAACTCTACTCTCCTAAAGTCCATTGTTGCAATCCTGAATTTTACTTTGTTCCCTCCCCTCAAGACCCCGAACTCCAACATCTCATGAACACTGCCCCCAAGTCTGTCTCCGACCTTCACATCCCTAACTAGTTCTTCCTTGCTTGTAAGTAACAGGTTCAACAGAGCATCTCCCTTCATCAGCTCCCTGATCACTTGGTTGAGGAAGTTGCTGTCAATGCACTCAAGAAGCCTCCTGAATGGCTTGCGCCCTCTAGCACTGCCCTTTCAGTAGCTATCAGGAGAGTTATACGTTTCCCTTAGAGGTATTAGCTATTTCAAGTGATTGCAGTGTTTCAAAAACATGTTTTGATTTGTTTTGCTTTGTTTAAAACAACACAAACAACAATAAAACCTGTAAATCTCTCCTTCTAATTAGGATAATTTAAGTGAAACATGTTGCAATAACTTTTAGTCCTTGCAGGTATTGTAGATGGATATTCTTGACCACACAGGTGAAAAAGTTCTGGCAGTAGAACACAACATAATGTCTGGTATATAAAAGCTGCTGGGAGCTGCCAGGTGGCTTTTTGTTGTACAGTGAGCCTTCAAAGTTCATATGCTTAAGGATTACAAGCTCAGACCTCTTTCACAAGCTGGAAGCCCTGTCTTTCCCTTCTATAACTCTGCCAAACAAGAAATCATGAGGAAGACCAAGAAGTGAAGAGTACTGGAATTAAATATTCATCAGTGAGGATAAGTGTGCAAATTAGGAGATATAATATAGCCAGATTATTCATAGAACAGTTAAAATCAAAGCCCTCAGTGACCTTTATAGTCATTGTCAGTCTTTAACTGTCAGCTGTTAATATAAACCTACTAGAAAGGTATTCACAACACTTGCTTTGAAATATCACAGATTAGCTTGTCCTCAATCCAAAAGAAAGTATATTCCAAATACTAAGAGTGTTCTTCAAGTTATTCAACTCCTATCACCTCAGCATGCAGTTTGTTCTTAGTCCTTTAAGGGTTTTGTGATGAAATTGTGGTAAACAAGCTCCCCATTGCTTTGCAGTTCATCAGAGCACAGTTGGAGAGTACCTTCAAAGTTTATTTTCTGTTTAAAATAGCTTGTGCTAGAAAGCATTACCACATGCATGTGCACTATGAGTATGATTAGCTGGCTGGTAAAAGTCAACTACTGGTGCTTCAACTCAAGGGCTTTCTCAGTTCTTGAAGGGATTGCTAAATTCAGGCCTGAAATATAATTAAAAACCCTGGAAACTGATTTTTTTTTCTTGACTGGATGAGTAGTTGGGTGATTTTCTATTGAGTCATAGTTCCACTAATTCTCTGAATCCTTTCTTGAATCCTAAGTACATTCTTCATTTTGTTGAGTAGAAAGCCGTCTAGAATTGAATAATAGTTCAATTTATTGATCAACATTCGTTTTACTTCTATTATTTGTGTTACGGAAAGTTCTGCATGTGTAGGTCTCCTGTATGCAAAGGATTATTTTGTTTAGATGCTTTGGCAACAGTGTTTCATATCTTTAAGGGAAATTCTGACCGGCTTCTGTGATCTCAGCAGTGTAGAAGAGAACCTGGATCAGCCTTGACATAAAAGGGACACTTGCAATCCCTCATGTCATCCTCACAATTAAAGGAAATTTGTTGCTAAATCTTTTCATGCTCTCTGAAAAGGGACAACTTCAAGGTACCTGAAAATGAATAGATACCTTGCGTGCCTTTCAATTACCAAAATAATTAATGAGGTAGCATTACTGGGTTTAATTACTGGTCAGCAAGGGTCTGAGAACTGTTACACTCTGAATCATTTGGCTAGGACAGTTAGCATTTGAAGGCAGAATTTTAATGCATTTCTGATTTGCTTAATCCTTTCCACCTGTGATAAATTAATATTTATACTGTGTATTCCTTACCTAAGGCAGAGAAGATGGCAGCGGCCCAAAACATTTCTCCCATTAAAGCTGGAATAAAAAGTAGCCCTCCCATCCTTTTTCCATAAAGCTGCTGAAAAGGGTCTAGCATTGTCACATAGCCTTTGGATCGCATGGGTTTTGCAAAAAAAAGGCCACCTGCAAAGAAAAGTGACATAAGACACCAGCTGCAGCGGAGAAGGCATTGCTGCTAAGGGCTAAAACATTGATTGTCAGTTAAGGGTACAAAAATATCAGTATTACTGTTTTGTTTTGGTTTTTAAAGAAATAAGTACAGCTAAAATATCCTGTAAGAACTCTTACCTTACATCTGTCTACAGAGTTACATAAACACAATATCTATGATCTGATAATGAAAAATAAGTTTGTCTTACTTTGTCTGGTTCGGTTTACTTAATCTGCTGTTATGGCTGCTGTCAGAGTTTTGTTTAATTTTGGATCAGCCTAAGGCAATGGCTTTTTCTACCTAATCCTGTCCATTCTTAAGAGCAGAATCCAGCATGGATTTTCACATGTTCCTACTCTAACTGCCTGGGATTCCTGAATAAGAAATACAAGTTCATGTGTGGTTCAGTGCGCACACAGCAAATCTGATGTTTTCAGGACAATTCAGATTTATTATGTATGCTTAAATCAACCTTACTACATCTGCGGGGTAGATCAAAGCCTTCTGGGCTCTGCAGGTGTCAGGCTCCCTGAACATTTCTGATACACTTATTTCACTTATGCATGTTCAGGAATTTTGATGTATCACAATTCCACTCTGCCTGGCTGACATATGGGCTGGATATGTATATAAATGTGCAAAGGCCTCATCTTTCTAACATACAGTCCTCAAATTCTTTCTGGCTGGGGAAGAAAAAAGGACATACATCAAGAAAGCTGAAAGAGCCCTAGTACGGAAACATGTGTAGTTGAGATCCGCTCATGACTGTAACTTAGTAGACTTCTATGACAGTAAAACTGCTGAAATGCAATGTATAAGGTACAATAAAAGCACCTGGGAAACCAGTCAGTTCCCGATGAAATCTACTGCACAGTATTTGGCAGCCCTTAATTAGGTTCTTCATCATAAGATACATATTGCGTTCATCGTACTGTACAGAAGATTTTCCACATTTCTATGTATTGCCTTATATTGATCATATTTCTTCATTTCATCAAGTTCCCTGAACAGAAGGTTCTGGCTTATCAAACACGATTCATTTATATTGCTTATGTTAACATTGTCTTTAGGCAGATTGTTTGGATGCAGAAACCTTCCAGCACTTTTTCACTATTCTTGGACTGGTCATGGATCCTGTTTCTATTCTACTTGTTATGCCATCATTACAAAAGAGAACTAAAAGATTAAAAAAGAGTCACTGGTATTATAATCTATTAGGGCATTCATGCATCTGTCAAAGGAAACAGGAGATATTTTAACCTTTACAACTGAATTGCTTGAAAAGTTAGGAAAAGTGGTAAGCAGCACAACATTGAACTAACAGGGAGAGTATATTAATCTTAAATCCTTCCAGTCTGAAGAAGAAACGTTTCTTCTAGCCTTGTATTTATAATTATTTTTTTTTTTACGAAGGATAAACAGCTCCTCTTTCTAAACCTTCACGTGCAGATCACACCTACATAAATGCTTTCCTCTCTGTGCTCTGCAGAGAGATACATGGTCACATGATACAGACTTCTTTTCTCTCCAGTGACTATTATAATTTCCAGGAAAAAAGTCTGAATGTCTAAAACCAGCTGGAAATGAGGGGAGAGGCTAACTCTACTCCTCTGGGCTATTATTAATTTATGTCTATTCTACAGAGGCTAAGAGTCAGGAAGATGCTTATGACTACAATCTTAATGACCGCTTAATGACATCAATGTGTCAAGACCCTCATGACCTCATAATGACATCAACTGATCTCTAGGCAGACATCTACTGTTACTGTTTTCCTTACAGGAAATAGAGCTGCTCTCAGGGATGGGAACTACTAGTGGAACTGAAGCTGGCTCGCATGTTCCAGAGAGGAGCATCTACAATGGGGAAGGTTTCTGCCTGGGACAGGAGGAGAACAAGGACAGGTCATAAGAAAGCATTTCCTATGAGGGGAAAAAGGAGTCAGGAGAGAAAGCGAGTTGTATAGGAAGAAATAAAAGGGTCAAGAAGACTTGGATAAGCAACTGAAGGAAACAAAGGGACAGACTAGGTGGGAAGACCATAAGAAAAGACTCAAAACGGACTGAGAGGTCAAGTATTATTAGAAAGGCTAATATGCCAGACACATTAATGAAAGATGAAAACCACGGAATCTCTTTTGTAACAACATTCTTTTTAAACAGTTGGATCAGCAGTTGCCTTAGGGACATGATCAGGTCACAAGCTGAGAGGATGTAGCTGGCAATTCTTTGGTGTACTCATGGCTCACAAGGCAATACTTTTGTGGTGAGCTGCTCTATGTGGTTGAGACACAGTGAGATACTTTTTTATTGTGTTTTTTTTTTTTTTTAATTAAGGAAGTTCTGAGACTACATTTTGGGAATTAGAGGCCACAGCGTTAAAAATTACAACGCTGTCTATATTTTACACTCTGACCCTGCATATAGCAGAATTGCGTATTTGCATTTTGACATGTGATTTGGAGTTTTGCACCGCATTTAAGAGGATGCTTGGTCCAACTTTAAGGAAATAGAGTGGTTCTATTGCAGACTTCAGTCCTAGTTTCGCTGGGACAGAATCACAGAATCAGTTTTCTGTTCAGAAAAGCTACATTTCTAAAGTAAACTGTGTTTTTAAGAAGACTGCAGAACCGGATTTGGTGAGAACAAAGTAGGTAAGACACTTTGTTTTAGTTTATAGCCAGCCATGGTATGCAGGTATTCACAGTGATCAAGGACTTTTCAACTTGTTTTTGCTAATGATCCAGATGCCCAAGAACCTGGAGAGACTATGACTAGAGTGATTGACATCTGAATTGGCAAATGGGTATTTCATACCATGTAATGTCATGCTTGCTATAAATCGGAAAGTTTTCTGGGGTATGGGCTCTCTTTCTTAATGGTTGCCAACCCTGGAGAGCATCGCCTGTCATTCTGCTCCTGAGGCCTACGACCTCTCTTCTGGAATTGCGGTTTTGGGATTTTCCTGCTCTGGCATTGCTAGCTAGAAATGGGCTGGATATTGGTCAAGGAGTGGTGAAAAATTGCTCCATACATCACTTATCTGTATATTATTATTACTGTTGTTGTTGTCATAGTTGTTATTATTATTATTATTGTTGTTGTTATTATTATTGTTGTTATTATTATTATATTTCAATTATTAAACAGTTCTTATCTCAACCCATGGGTCTTCCTTCCTTTTCCAGAAGTCAAACCTATCAGCAGAAGGGATCCAGTTTACCTCAGCATCCTTTTATCAGACTCTAGTTGTTTCATTTCAAACGATGGACTTGTCATCAGAACTGTTTAAAATGAGAGACTATTATCTTTAGTTCTTTGCTTACCTAAAACCAGGCTAAGGGAGTATCCGATAGGTGCCTGAGCCCAAGCTAGACCGTAGCCTGGGACATACACTGCTTCTGCTGTCCCATTGATGTAACCTCCTCCAACCCATGTGGCTAAAAAAGAAGAAATGGAAAAGTCTTTAATGTGCACAAAGAAAGAAAACCTCCCACATTGTAGAATGGAGTTGTCATCACTTATAATATTACTATTTTTAAATTACATGTACTGTACAAGTGCCAGACACGACATCCTTCTATAAAAGATAGTCCTAGTTCAAAAAACTTAGCACCTAAGCATACTAAAAAAGAAGTCAGATGGACTGACAATCATCCAGGTGTCTAAGTGTCTGTATAGTCAGTAGATGTAAGGGCTGAGTCCCTCACTACTAGTTTATAATGAATGAAGCATATGAACTCACTAACTATTGCAATTTTCTTTGTGTTAGTTCAAATGAAGGATAGATGAGGGGGAATCTGAAGAAGAACAATAAACATGCAGTGATACAAGTCATCCTAGCTGGCATATAAATTAGACAAAATTTTAACAAATGCATCATTTATTAGGGCCTTCATGAAAAAAAGTGCCCTTAAAACCTTGCTAAATTTTAAATTATGGTGACATGAAGAACATTTAGTAAACTCCAACTTCCCTAAATGCTATATTTCCATATAGGGCTGTGGTGGCTTTGTGTTATTATTTGAGTTCTAAACACTGACTCATTTATTTTTGTGCTTCCTGAAGACATATTCCATAAATGAATTGTGCTATCTGTAAGATTTCTGATTTTCTCTCTATAAAAAACAGCAGTATTTTTAACATACTAACTTCAGACTCTTAATGAATTGATTCTTTGCCTTGACGGGAAGTTTCTACATTTGAGAGTTTGAGACCTACAGTATGTATGAAAGAAAATTTCCAAACAGAAATGTATTGTGATGGCGTCTGAAAATATAATTCATAGCAAATTACTTAATAAAGTTTATCTCTTCCTGCTTGCAGATTCCATGCAAAAAGTTCTTTATTTTCTCCAATGTGTAATAAGTAAGTTTTATGCGTCTGTGTCTGTAGTTTGAACAAGCGCAGACAGATCATTACAAGTACTAGATTTTTGTAATGCTATTTTGATTTGTCTCAGAAGCCTTTGCCACCTCATGTAAGAGTATTTCAGGCTTTCTGTGTAAAAATTCACAATTATAAGAAATTCATTTTCCTCAAGTGTTCTTTGGAATTTTCCCAGCATCCACCATCATACAAGCAAACTTGATTTTGTGTTTAAGACAAACAATTGGAAGTAAACACAAATGAAGAAAATTTAATTAAAATTCCTAAAGAAATTTCATTAAAATCTAAATGACCACTGTTTTCCGCTTAACTGTGATATCTCTCAAATAATAACAGAGGATATTTTCTTTAACTCGATGCTAAATTACACCATGGCTTTAAAATCAAAGATCTCTGGAAACCAGAGCATTACAATTGTCCCCTTTTCAGCATTTCGAAGCACAGGAATAGGCAATTCTGTGCATTGTCTGCACAGGATGAAAGTCTGCAACAAAAAAAGTGACCCAAGGACCACTGTCATTGGTAGATTTTAGGGTATCAATATCTATTATGCACTACAGTGACAAGATAGGAGGTGAGTGATGTCCATGTGGGACCACATGGAGAACGTGGGTGAACATTGATCCTTGATGGGAACAGCCGGGATACAGAAACTATATAAAAAGTTGTCAGACATTTGGGATTTTGTGTCTCTTGACAGTGTGAATGAAGATAAGTGGGAATATGATACTTTGGTTATCAGAGTCCTAGAATTGTAGAATCATAGAATGGTTTGGGTTGGAAGGGACCTCAAAGATCATCTAGTTCCAATCTCACCTGCCATGGACAGGGACACCTTCCACTAGATCAGGTTGCTCAAAGCCTCATCCAACCTGGTCTTGAACTCTTCCAGAGATGGGGGAGTCACAACTTCTCTGGGCAACCTGTGCCAGTGCTTCACCACTCTCACAGTGAAGAATTTCATCCTCATGTGCAAGCTAAATCTACCCTCTTTCAGTTTAAAAGTGTTACTCCTCATCCTATCGCTACACTCCCTGATAAAGAGTCCCTCCTCATCTCTTTCCTGTAGGCTCTCATTAGGTACCATAAGGCTGCTATAAGGTCTCCCCAGAGCCTTCTCTTCTCTAGGCTAAACAATCCCAACTCTCTCAGCCTGTCCTCATATGGGAGGTGCTTCAGCCCTCTGATCGTCTTCGTGGCCCTCCTCTAGACCTACTTGAGCTGGAGGCCCCAGAGCTGGACACAGTACTCCAGGTGGGGTCTCATGAGAGAGGAGCAGAGGGGAAGAATCACCTCCCTTGACCTGCTGGCCACGCTTCTTTTGATGCAGCCCAGAATACAGTTGGCTTTCGCACACTACCAGCTCATATTCACTTTTTCACCCACCAATACCCCCAGGTGCTTCTCCTTGGGGCTGCTCTGAAGCCACTCATCACCCAGCCTGTATCCATGTTTGGGTTTGCCCTGACTCAGATGTAGGACCTTACATTTGGCCTTGTTGAACTTCATGAGGTCAGCACAGGCCCCCCTCTCAAGCCTCTTGAAGTCCCTCTGGATGACATCCCTTCCCTCTAGAGTATCAGCCACACCACCCATCTCGGCATCCGCAAACTTGCTGAGAGTGCACTCAGTCCCAATGTCTTTGTCCCTGGAAAAGATGTTAAATAATACTGCTCCGAACAGGCACCCCTGAGGGACACCACTCATGACTGATCTCTGCCTGGACATTGAGTCATTGACCGTTGAGTTCATGACTACCTCGGATGTGCATTGCCTATTGTGTCTCATGCATCATAGACTTACGGAATAGGTTGTAAGCACCTGGATACAATAACAAAAATAAATATTTAGAAAGGGAATTGTCTTTGCCTCCTTCCCTGGAAAAAGCATGAGCATGAATTCTGCATAATCCGATGATTCCCCCACTTTCAGGTGGGGAATAATATCCTATAATCAAGGACAGATGTCCAGCATTGCTGCAGCTGTGGTGCAAGGAGGCTTCAACGTCTGGCATTGATTTGCCTGGGGTTGCTACTGAGGTGATGGATGTTCTCTAAGGAGCACTTAGACACTATGCCTAGCTCCCTTATTTTCTTCTAAAGGGGACAAGGTAAACCCCCTTCTTTGGGATGTTGCAGGGGCCATTGCCCGCCCCTGGCTTGGGACAGGAACAATGGCTATGGACCAGTATTGCTGGGTAAGGTGACATGGAGGATTTAACACTTATATTCAGTTTGATTTCTTGATTTCTGGATTGGAGTTTAAAAAATAGCTGTTGATCAATTTTTCTGTGCATGTCTGTTCTGGAACATCTGCTGAGGACCCCAGAGCTCTAGGAAAGTGCTATATGGCTTTTTCTGAGAGGGTGAATGGGTAGTCAGCACATACATTGACATCAGTAAATACATTATAAAAGAAATAATGGGATATGATAGGATGAGATTTCAACCTTAGATATTAACTTTCTGTTCCTCAGTTTGCTAAGCCACAATTTAAAGTTAGTTTAATACCTTTTTTTGTGAAATTCTTTTTTTTTTTTTTTTCTAAATTGGACAAAAGGAATATAAAATTCAATAATCGAGGGAAACACTAATGTGGTAATCTATTTTAATCCTCTCTTTGCCTGCTGGCTGAAGGACCAAAAAATGCAGCAAATACCAACTTCCATTTAAAACATACACCCTAAAAAATGATTAGACAAATACTGAGGATATGGAGCACAATTCTGCTTCTGGTTCATGTGAGGAACAGAGACATTAATCTCAAAGTTCTTTAGATATATTGATACATATCAGAAAATGAGTTTTTTTGGCACTTCTTTGTCAATAATGCCTTGTCTGACCACTCAAATTATTGAATCAACCCATCAAGTTCTGTAAAATGCAAATCCTGAAGTAAGGATTACAAAAACTATAGAATTTTGTAGTATTTCTTTTCTCCTTGTGAAAAGATACATAGCTCCATCCAATTAAAATTAAAATGTTACATCAGTAGATTATCACATTTCCGGTTGTGTCTGTAAGCATCTGATTATGTAATATCAAATATTTCCTTTGTGGTTTAAACTCAATCACCGAAATCAGAATAGACTCAATTTTGTTGCAGATACCACTTCCTAAGAATTTCACCCACAAATTAAGGAACGTTAATAATTAATGCAACATTTTAACTATAATGATGTAAAAGTGATACACAGATTAAAGGCGTGTCTGCTGTGGCACTATGTTAGCTCATTTTAGTATGAGCTGTTGTGATCCATCCCTAATTCCAGCTTCTCACTCATCCTGTTTTGATAATTGCGAACACACTCAGCCTTCAACAGGCTTTGTGTTTAGGCTTTTCAGTAGCTCGTCGATACAGCTGCTTCTTTGAGATCACAGTGTACATCCAAACATGCTCACAGCCATTACTCGTCGGTAGTGCAATTGCTTTAAGGCTTTTAAACGCCGTTCAGAAAATCAACTGTAATTACTCAGGAATCTTGAGTCCATCCTTACGAAGTCACGTTGCTTACGCTCTGAATCTGATTTGAAATTCATAGGATGCGTTCTGTCATCCTCCCCACCAAGCAACCCTAGAAACTGCTACCATTTTTTTCAGTCAAAATCTGTGGAAGATGGTAGTGTTTGTCTTGGCCAAGAAAGACAGAATTAGACCTTATCCCATAACCCAAAGTACTTCAAGTCCATACTGACAATATCCTTTCTGGAGATCTTAAAAAAAATCTTATTTTCCCTTTATGTGATAAGTTTTTCTTTTAAATTTGTATTTAGACAATTGAATCTGTAAAATATAAAGACTATGTTGGAACAGCCATACATGCCAGAGGCATGGCTATGAGGTGCAAAATCGGCATCTATCATTTTTAAAGGAGCAAGTATGTCCTTGAATTATGTGAGCATTCAGTAAAAATTATTGCAGATTTTGAGTGGTTACTTTTGTTACAGCTTTACAAACTAAGTAATCCCAATCACCCTCACTGGGACAAAACTTGGACTAACCCCTCATTCCGCAGACTTGTGCCCACACCTAACTTTGTGTGTCAGGCATGGTTCCCTGAAACTCAAAGTGTAATTTACTTGTCATCTCAAGCTTTAATTGTCATATTTACGGAAGGCAGAGGTGAGAAAGTGTGGGAACCCTGATAGTATAAAACCCATGAGCAGTTTGGCTATGCAAAAGCTTTAGGATCAGCTTGATATTCTACAGCAGAGATGACATACTATGCCATCTCTAGAGCTTGTGTGAAACATGATGAGTATCCGTGGGTGTGAATCGTGGTGGTTATAGAAATCGCCTGCAATAGAGGAAACCCCAGTTCAAGTCTCATCTCTGCTTCAGCTGTTATGAAAAATATTCCTATAAAATAAGATTAAGGAGACCAGAATTTGTGTCTTCTTCCACAGGCAAAGCTGTTAGTCATAACCACTTGCGCGGACAATGTCTTGTTTTGTTTCCACTCCTCCAGTCTAATGCTTACAGTTCTGCGGCAAGCAATATCTCTGCAAAATATTAAGGTTTCAGTGCTCTTGGAAACATTTCATTCAGCAAAAAGCAGTCAAACCAGCTCTTGCTATGAGCAGAATGTCATCATATCGGGTGCTTCAGAAGCCCATGGATACATGATACAGTAAATTAAAGTGCAAAAAGTAGGACATCTGCCTGTATTCAAGCTTTATTGATTTTTACAAACATTATTTACTCAATATCCAAATATTCAGTCTTTGAATGGGCAAAATGACCCTGCAAGGGGACAGGAATTTCTCTTGATTAAAGAACAGATAATTTCGGCCCAAGTTTTTATGTATCTCTTCCTTATTAAATAACTGTGAAACCAGAACAGGGCAAAACAGCAAAAGATGAATACAACATGATAAATCCAATTTGGCAATTGAAAGGGCTTTGCCTGAATAGGATTTAGAATAGATAAATAAAAAATAAAAACAAATCATGCTTAAAAATTAAATTTCTTAAATAAAAATGGTGGACCAATTCACTCTTCTTATAATGCATTTTTGTTCTGACACCGTATGTTAGCTGTAAGACTTGAGATTTTGGACCATATTGTGAATATTTTGTTAACCCAGGTAACACACCTGCTCTGGCAGTCAGACAGCACTGCCTCCAAAATTAGTGAAGAACTCTTCCTTCACCCAGGCTTTTCCTCCTGATACTACTATTCACAGTAATGTATTATTTTGTCAAACTGCTGCAGAAGAAACTAAAAGAATCCACAAAGTTTGCTGCAATCAGTGGAATCACAAGTTTGGATTTATGCCCAATTTTCTTTCAGAAACTTATTCTTAATTGATGCCGCCCCCCCCCCCCCACCTCACCCCCCATCTTTGTGCATATAAACTTTGTTTTACTCAGATTAAACAAAAACAACTCATCAGTTTGGATGACTTAACAAAAATAACAGTTATTTTAAAACAGTATTTCTTATTAATCTATATAAATTCTATACTTCTGTTTCAAATATATCTGATCTACAGATGAATATGAAAGCAATGAATAAGAAATATAATATATCCTTCCTGTATGATTTTAAAATATTTGTTGTTTTTATATAGATGTTGTATTTGACTGTTCACTACACAATGGCAGCAGCAATTGGAAAAAAAAGTATATTTTCTCCATTTCTCATTATGCAACATGCAGATTACACTTCTTTATTCAGATGGAAAACTGACAAGTTATAAGCTGGTTAGAAAGAAAAACAGAAAGAAAAAGGTGTTTTCTACATACCGGTCATCGTAAATCCACCAACTAGCAAGCCAATGTCTCTTCCACCGACTATAATAGCTTCGCTGCGATCTCCTTCACTGCCGGTATTCTTGGTTTTCCAAGCAGCCCATATCCCAACTGCCAGGATAGCCAGGTAGAATACAACTATGGCCACCAGCCCCTCCGCATGGAAAGCCATGCTGAAGTCTCGACCGTTTCTTTGATCGCTATTTCATTAAGACCTCTGGAGAGAATGCAATAATACGTCTGCTTTTAACAAACCTGGTAAGATGCTTTTTAGAATCAGTGTACAAAGCAAACTCAGACGGTTATGAAAGAGGCTATTCTGGTGAATTTATGAAATAAGTACTCCAGATGTAACTGAAATTAAGTTTACATGCCAATTAAAATGCCTGTGGAGCAACAACCGGCAATCGGAACCTGCGATTACTATGGGAAATGAACGATGCGGCTGAAAGCTACGCAATTCTTAGAGATCAGTTATTGAGCACCGAATTATTTTAGTGTCACGAAGTGCCCAGTGGCTGGGAACTCTTCAGTCAAGAAACAGTTTGGTACATGGAACAGGCTAGAAGGTCGCGGCCATGTGGGCTAGTATAGAAGTCTCTATCTAGTCAGAAGA